CCCCAAAACCCCAAAACCCCAAAACCCCGGAGTATGAACTCACAACTGAAATATTATTTAATAATTATCTGTGATAATTTAGTTTCCTCCTCATTGGAGATCTTCTCGGGCCAGATCCGTCGTAAGGCCGTCTTTGAGGGACTCGAGGAGGTGCAATCGGAGCATTACTTCTGCTCATGCTCGAGGAAACGTTGTTGATGTATGGGGGAGGACTTGGACTAGGGTCTTCTTGATTTTGGGGTGCTCTTTGTTGAGGCGAGGGCTCTTTAGGAGCGATATTTTGCTTTTTCTTCCTGGCTTTCCTGTCAATCATGTAAACTATGATTGATTTTATCAAGAATCCAAGGCATATTAAGCTTCCAATAGCTGGAGTCACCATGAATACTGTTGTGTAATAGCTTTCATAGAATGAAGTCCAGTCTTGTTTTGTATTCAGCCATGATAGAGGGACTGCCAGACAGCAAAACAGTGTCTGGTTAATAGCCTCAATGAGATTGTCCTGAGGATTCTCGAATGGTCTGACAATGATCAAATAAATTCAGTAACCAATGCTTATCAAATAAAAGAAGATGGCTTTCTCATATCAACGAACAGTTTGACCAAATATAAGTAATGACGTCATAGATATTCTCACCAACATAAACAGACTAGAATAGAGTTTTGAAAATTTAGTTGGTTTGATTCCATTGAAGTACTCGATTCATGGCCAATACTTGTCTTTATTAATCTGAGGGAATGAGACTCGATACATTATAAATGATAAAATAAATAGCACACTTGTTCATATAGCAAACACTATTCACAACCCAAAGGATATCTGAGTCACAGTTGTAGCAAGGTTGAGATTATAAAGCTCAGAGAAGATAGAGAGAGTGGTGAATACAAATGCCTGCATGAATATTCTAATATAGATGTTAAAAGTCAACAGTTTGAATAACTTATTGAAAAATGTCTTACACCTTGTGTGTTTCGAGTTCTCTGTTCATCTTTTACACACAAAAATTCCAAAGTTAATGACTCCAACAAGAATGAGAATGGCCAATAGTGATAAATAATTGACAACTGAGCTCCCAGACCTCATTCCAAGGCTGTTCAAGTACTCGTCGGACTGAGGATATTTCACCCACTCTGTAAGATCTTCTACAAATGGGAGATCCTTAAACTTAATGAAGTCGAATGAGAACATTGCGAACCCCATTCCACTCAAGATGTCAAGCACTTTGGGTGAAAAGTAGTCAGGAACAAGAGGCAGCAGTACTGCAAATTGCAGACTGTTCATGATGCTAAAGATTGAGTTTATGGACGATAATGATAGGATAGACGAAGCACTTGCCAGTATGACGCTTGATGTCACCAAAGCAGCAGCAGCTTCAGTTGCTCCAGTCATGGCAACTATTTTGGAACAAAATTTGCTCTCATCAGAACTCTGATAGCCATCTGTTCAGACTTCTCAAATGCTAGGACTACCTAGTTTTCAGAGTTCACAGTGCTTGATTGATCACTCTTCTACTGTAATTTTAAATTTCTTATAATGTACTTCGCTGTCGAACGAGATTTGCAGAGAAAAGTAAAAGACTTCTTTGGCGTCCAGCTTGGGAGTGGTGTTTAGTTGCAACTCTTGATTGTCTGCATCTAACTTTACCCACTCAGGTATCGCATTGGAGTCAGTTTGGGTCAGACTGAAGCTGATGCCAGTGTAATTAGATGACTGAGCTCAGGCCCAAGTGAATTCCAATTTCACCGAAGTGTTGCTCTGGACAGTCTGGAGGTGGTCTTGGTTCCATAAAGCCACGTACGTGGTAAATGAAGGATTGGTAGACGGCGTGATGTCAGTGGTCGTGATGGACGATGAGGTTGAGATCGTAAGAGTCTTCGTGCTTGTGGTGAGACTAGGATTTGATGTTGTTGAAGACACTTGATAGTTAGTGGTAATTGGGCTGAACAGAGGAGTGTCTTCTTCAAACTCAGAAAGCTGGCCAATGTTGCTTGTGAGTGATCTTGCAAAGAAGAATGCGTAACTAGGTTCTATTCTTCCAGAATGAAACATTAGTTCTTGGCCTTTGTATAACAACCTTCCGATTGCATAATCCCTTGAGCTCACAGACTTGTACTCTTTCAAAACTTCTGCGGCCGAGGGGGAGACCAGAATCAACCTTTTTAGATTTGATAACGAGTTACTGTAAAGCTGGACGGCAATGAAACCACTGAACTCTTTCATTGAGTAACTATGTATATACCCGCTGTCGTTCCAAATTAGCCCTGAGCTTTGGGGACTCCCATCGGCGGTGCTGAGTTTTTGGAAGATAAAATTGGCATCGTACAGCACCATTGTGTAGATCCACTCTTCATCTCTGCTCACCAGGGAGTTGCTGATTTTGTTCACTCAGCCCGAAGTGGGACAGGCAATGCTCTTCTTCCAGGCCAGGCTGGAGGAAGAGAAGTTGTAGTTCACCAGGTAGTATTGGTCAGCTGCTGTGTCAGTTGATCCAAAGAACAGCAGATCGGCACTGATTGGGGCCAAATTGGCCTGATTGCTGACCCCGAAAGTGAATCAGTCGAGATTGGTATTGGACATGTCCCATCTGCAAGTGTGCATGATTGAGCTGATGATGGCACTGAAGAAGAAGCCTTCACCCACTTCCATGTTTGAATTCCCATTCACTGAGGTAGAGCTAACTGCCAATTCCCTGGAGATGATCAGGTCTGAAGTCCTGACCTCGAATATCTTTGCCGTTGTCACGTCTTGGATGTAGATGAACTCCCTGCTCGGAGATATGGCGTAGGAACGGCAGTTGCAGTAGATATCATAAGTCATCACTTGCACTTTGGCCAGGGCAGGGTCCGACTTGTAGATTATTGTGTCAAGTGGAGGAGATGGGCCAAAATATCCAATAAAATAGAGCAATTCACTGTCTTGGTCTTCCAAAATATAGAAAAGATAGACATATGTAAGTCCGGCCATTCCGAAACTTCCAGAGAGAGGAGATCCCGCCGTCTGGGTATCGTTCTGGCACACATTGGCTGCCACAGCAATGATACATAAGATTAGGATACTGATATACTTCATGTTAATATTATTAATAATATAAATCTCAATTATTTATTTGGCGTGGGGTTTTGGGGTTTTGGGGTTTTGGGG